GTTTTAAAGTCAATATCTGGTCAATGTCCAAGTCAGTTCAGATCAATTGGATTTTGATCTGTGAGTTCAAAAACGTCAGGAATCCACGGGATCTAAAGTATCGTTGGAGTGCACTCTTTCTAATATGAGTTTGAGTCGGTAACAATCCAGGTGACTGGCATGATCCTACCACAAAGCAGATAGTTCATCTGCTATTTCAGCGGAAATGTAGACACTGGTCCTGGGATCAAGGTGGGTGGCTCGCCATCTACTGGAATCTACTGTAATCTTCTGGACCGTCTTCATGGATCTTCTCACTCAACTTAAAGACCTGACCTGCATTTAAAAACACAGGCTTATAGTCTGTTCTGATTTATTCTATGACTGGCATCTTTTCAGTATTTCTCTTGTGTTTCTCTCTTTTGTTGTACAACATAATACCAGATTATAATATCATTTAAGTGCTGCTGAATGCAAACTTGTATGAAAATTACTCTAGTAATTCAACTTCAAAATTCTCAAATGAAATTACAATAGAATTGTTTTATCCTAACAGAATATGTGTTCATCACATTTTGACAGTACAAATAAACATGAGATTAGTATTAAACTGCTTTAGCTTAAACAGTGGCAACAGAGAATAACATCTATTTAGGGCTGCCACTAACGATTATTTTCATTGTCGACTAATCTGTCGATTATTTCTTCATTTAGTAGACTAATCATTTCATCGAAAAATGTGTTAAAATGTTGAAAAATGTCGGTCTGTCTCGCCCAAACCCCAAAATTACGTCATCTAATGTCTTGTTTTGTACTCACGCCAAAGGGTTTTAGTTCACTGTCACGGGAGAGTGTGTAAAGCTGCCAACATCTGAACATAAGAAGCTGCAGTAAGAGTATTTTGAAGTTCTTTTATAGTACTTTTCTATGAAAAATGACTCAAACCGATTAGTTGACTACTAAGATAGTCACCGATTATTTTAATAGTCGATTAGTCATCGATTAGTTGACTAATCGTGGCAGCCCTAATCTCATATATTAAACATTAAACCAGTACATTTCACCACTTTTAGAAAACATGGTAAGTATCTTCTGTATTTCTCAGAACCAGTTTCATTTGTTGTGTAAACACCATAAATCTGGCAAATACATCTAACAATAACAGTAACCTAAATCTTATAATGCACTTTCATCAGTACAAAAATACTGCTTGACAAATTATTTCCTAATGTAGAAACATATAGAGTAAATTGATTAACACTCTACACATGAATAAATTTCTGTTTTGTCTGAGTAAAATATACCATTTTACATTGACTTTCTCTCTTAAAACATCTCACACATCAGCACAAAATAGCTATGGTAGCTTACTCCTTTCGTTCGCAAGACTACTTGTTGCTTTCTGTTCCATATGCCCGTACTGAATTGGGTAAAAAGGCTTTTGTCTACTCTGCACCTTCAGCATGGAATATGTTGCAAAATGACTGGAAACTAACAGGGTTAATTTCTTTGAGTGCCAATCCAAACTAAGAATACTTGAGGCCGACTCCACTACATGTACTTGTTTTTCATAATCTGCTTGTAAATTCAATACTATTTGTTTGTGTTTTATCTGTGTAATTTGTAACTGTGCTTCATACTTGCTGCTGCCTATCTTGGCCAGGTCTCCCTTGAAAAAGAGGTTGTTAATCTCAATGGGATCTTCCTGGTTAAATAAAGGTTGTTAATAATAATAATAATGTAGCTGAAACAAATAAGAAATGTGCATTTTAGTGTGCTAATACACATACCAAGGTGCTTTCATGACTCAAATAAACATTCAATGCTTAACGTTAACCAAGTAATGGAGATTAAATATAACATTTTCTCCACAGCATTAGTGAACAGCAGCAGCAACTAACATGTCAACAACCAAAAGATATCTCACCGATTTCTCGTCCGCTCCACTTCCGAGCGACGTCAAGGTTCAGGCTCTCTGCAGATGAGAGGGAGTATGCCTGTGTAAACATTAGCACTAGCCGTTAGCAACATGTAGCACAGAGCTAGCAGTGTGTGATTAGTAAGCCGCTAAACAGTGAAGGGAGCTTTCTTACCGACGTGATTAACGTTTTATGCAGCCTCAAATCAGCGTCGGACTCCTCCTGGGTCGGATTAAACACGGCACAAGGCTGTATACCTCTGATTAAGTTAGTTTAATGAGGAGAATTATCTTCAATATCTGGGAGCTTCTGCTCGCTGTGTGTATGGCTTCTCGCTGCGACGTCCGAGGCAGAAAAGAAACAGAAAACTACTGCGCGCAAGGTCACTTCCCACAATAGACTGAACTCGGCATCTGATTGGCTGTTGACTGTTCGTAAGATACGTGGTCGATAAGCTGCCTTCAAATACACCTCAGATTTTACACATTCAACCCATATACATTGATCTACATTTACATGTCACTTTGTGCATTTCTTTTGTGTAAATAAAAAGATTCATAATCACAATCTATTACACTTTTAACATAGTTAACCTGGTTTTCACCTGGGTTACACTATCAATGTAGCGTGATCTTTACCTGCAACTTCCCAACATTAATTTTTTAATTCTAATGTCAGCATTATGAATAAAGTTTCAATGCTTCAAACTCTTCGATACAGCCCTAAATGGCGTACAGTCCCAGGAGTATAATCTTTTTTTTTTTTTTTTTTTTTTTTTTACTTTTTTTAGACTTTTTTTTTATTATTGAACACACAATAGAACAAAAAACATAGAGAAACATACATGTTCTCGTAAGGACTATACATTTTTTGTACAGTGAAAAGTTGTGAAATTGCAAAAGAGTCGCAAAGAAAAAATACAAATAAAAACAAAAAAAACAAAACTGGGGTTTTTATAAAGTGCAAGTACAACAAAAACAGTAGCACGTCATTTTATAGATCACCAGGCATACAATTAAAATAACAAAGACCCTAGAGAGGAGCAAAGTCTAAGGTATAAATCAAATAAG